GCTACTTGGGGGTAGAGACCCGACTAATGTATGTGAGGCCCTGCCGCAAGAACAAACTCAACCCCAATCTCAATATCCTATCCCACCTAATGTACCTAATCAACAACAACCTCACCAACATCAAATCCAATATGTTCCTCCACCGCCTAATGCTACAGATCTAACCAGCTTATTGACATCCTTTCTTTCAGAATTTAAATCCCTTGTTACCCCACTGATATCACTTCTCACTAACCTAGTATCTCACCTTATCCCTCCTTTAAAAAATCCTTAAATGACTTCCATCAAACCCATATCCATTCTCCTTTGGAATGCGAATGGTGTTAGAAATCACATACACGAACTAACAGCCTTACTACAAGACAAGAACGTAGACGTAGCCCTAATAACGGAAACTCGACTGACTAAAAAACAGCTCCTAAAAATACCACAATACATAACTTACCGTACCGACCATCCTGACGGTAGAGCACATGCCGGTACTGCAGTCATTGTGCACCAATCCCTCTCCCATCACCTACTCCCACTGCCTACACACGATTTCCTACAATCCACCGCAGTCGTAATCAAAACCTTCTCCTTTCCTATTACCGTTGCATCAGCGTATTGCCCTCCAAACCAATCCATCTCCAATATCCAATTTAGTTCCTTCCTCATTTCCTTAGGACATCATTTCATCTTGGGTGCAGACTTAAACGCCAAGCATCAACAATGGGGTTCAAGAACCACGAATTCTCGTGGTCGAACATTGCTGTCTGTACTCAATTCCCAAAATTTTACCCTTCTTCCACCCAACTCACCTACCTACTGGCCCACTGATCCTAACCGTAATCCCGATATCCTCGATTTCTTTATCCATAATGGTTTAGGTGCTCTCAACCATTCCGTTGCCCGTCTTGACGAGCTTTCCTCAGACCACAGCCCATTAATACTCCAAGTATCACTAGCTCCTATTCCTAAACCCTCTCCTCCGTCCTTCATCAGAGGCCCAGTTAACTGGAAACTCTTTCATCAAATCCTCTCCGATAAAATTGACCTCAGAGTAACCCTGAAAACCTCTGAAGACCTGGACAATGCAGTACATTCCTTCACTACCAAAATTCAAGAAGCAGTCTGGACTGCTTCCTCCCCTGATCACTCCTCAAAAATCCTTAAGAAACATAATTTACCTCAACACCTCCTTGACCTAATCCACATAAAACGCCGTGCCAGATTATTATGGCAACGTACCAGACATCCAGCCGACCGCCACTCCTACAATTATCACTGTAAAAAATTAAAACAAGAATTAGCCACCTTCAGATCCCAATCATTCAATTCCTACCTCACCACACTCTCTGCTCATGATAATTCCCTTTGGAATATCACCAGAAAAATCCTCAAATCCCATCATATTTCCCACCCTCTTCGACGAGATGATGGCTCCTGGGCAGCATCTGATGAAGATAAAGCCGAGGAATTTGCCAAACACCTTTCCTATACTTTCGCTCCTCATCCAGAATCCCATCCCAGCCACACAGTAAAAGTAGAAGAATCCCTCTCAATACCTATCCCACTCTCCTTACCACCTAAAGCTGTTAATCCCTCTGAGGTCAAATACCTTTTACGGAAAATCACACCTCGCAAATCTCCTGGATATGACCTTCTAACCCCACAGATCCTTCGACAACTTCCATCTAAAGCCATCATATTTCTTACATATATATACAATTGCATCCTACGAACTACCCACTTCCCTCTTTTATGGAAACATTCCACCATCGTCCTCTTCTTGAAACCAGGCAAACCTTCCAACAATACAGCATCCTATAGACCAATTAGCCTACTCCCAATCCTCTCAAAAATTTTTGAAAAGATCCTACTGAAACGAATCCTACCTATAATTGAATCCTATAACCTTCCTACTCATCAATTCGGATTTCGTTCCCAACATTCCACTGTCCAGCAAGGACTCCGAGTTGTTGACCATATATCCTCAACCCTAGAAAGCAAGCAGTATTGCTCGGGTGCATTTCTGGACATAGCGCAAGCTTTTGACCGGGTATGGCACGCCGGATTACTCTTCAAGCTTAAAATCCATCTACCACAGTCCTTATACCTAGTACTCCGATCCTATCTTTCCGACCGCTCCTTCCGAGTTCGCTGTGGCACCGAATTCTCCGACTGTTACTCAATTGAGGCTGGCGTTCCTCAAGGCAGCGTCTTGGGCCCCATCCTTTACATTCTCTTTACCGCTGATATTCCTGTCCATCCCGATACCCTCCTGGCAACTTTCGCTGATGACACTGCTATCCTTTCTTCCAACTCAGATCCTGAAACAGCGTCCGCAAACTTACAAAGGCACCTCTTCCTGATTGAACACTGGTGTAAGAAATGGCGCATTAAGGTAAACGAATCTAAATGTAAACACATTACCTTCACCCTTCGGCGTAATACCTGCCCACCAGTTTATTTTAACTCCATCCAGCTTCCTTTCTCAGATACAGTCCGGTATCTTGGCTTTCTCTTAGACAGACGACTAACATGGAATCCACATACTCGACTTAAAAGACAGGAACTTAACAGACGATATGGCCAGCTATATAGACTACTGAATAGAAAATCTAAACTTTCTGGTGAAAACAAATTACTGATCTACAAGACAATACTGAAACCCATCTGGACTTACGGACTAGAACTATGGGGAACAGCCAAATTTTCTAACATCAAACGCATTCAATCCTTTCAGTCTAAAGTCCTCCGTACAATAGTCAATGCTCCCTTCTATGTAACCAATAAAACCCTACACCATGACCTTAATATCCCATTTATTCTTGATCTTATCCCAGCCAAATTTTCCAAATTTCACCAGAACCTTTCTCATCACCCAAATCCCGTTGTACAATCCCTATCAAGCACCACCCATCCCTACAATCCCCTTCGTAGGTTAAAGCGGCAGTGGCCACGAGACCTTTTGTAAATATGGATATTTTGGAGTTCTAGCAATGGCCAGATTCTCCACTCAAGTCATGAGTGTCTGTGGCTGTAGCGCTCTTACTCATCCTCCGCTGGTTTAAAATACCAGTGAAGTGGCTGAGGGAGAAGCGTAGGGATCTCCTAAGCCTCCCTTTTCCCTCCACATGTGGAGGGGACAGGATTGGTTCGGAGATCACCTGGCAAATTGTAAATAATGTATGTTTTATATAAGGTGTTTGTTTTACTTTTATTTCTATTTTTATTTACTTATGTGTATATATATTTTTTTTTCTTTACTCTTTTGTTCTTTCTTCTTATTCTTTTGTTATTACTTTATTTATTTATATTTTTGTATATACGGTATGAATGCAATCTCTGAACTCTATTATAAGTGTCCTTAACTGTGACAAATTGTAATATTTCTGAATAAAGTGTTTTAATAATAAAAAAAAAAGTTGACAACCGGAAAAAAAAAATCATCTAAGAACACTAGCGGATCCAGGATTTATTTTTGGGATGGCTTCAGCCCGAAAGTTTTTTTTTCCATAAAAATAACGCTAATCACTGAAAAAAAGAAACTAACAACCTATATGAAATTGTGTTTAAATGATTCTTAAAGCCCTTTTGTAAATGTAATTACACGAACAATAATACTTTGATAGATATTTTTAAAATATTTGTTTCGATAAAAAATGGTTATATTTTCCCATTTTGGGGGGAGGGGCTTCAGCCCGAAAGCCCCTCTGTCCTTGTACATTTTTGGTTTTACTCATGAAAAATGGACTTAATTAAATTTGAATTGTAAATAAATGTTTATAACAAATTTCAAACATTTCTGATTATTTTTATTTTAGTTTATGAGAAACAAATATTTCTGATAGGACAAATTTGCTATCTACTTCTATATTAAGAAAATATGGTTTTAGCGTATATATTTGCATGCTTTAAAGCTATTTATATTTTTATATAAGCTATTTGAAGGCATATCTGGTTTATGCAGGGGCGTTGGACCTATTTCACAGAGAGCTGCTGTAATCGCTCCTTTAGAACTGCCTATTTATGATTTTTGTAAACAACTTGAAATCAAAAGTAAGATATTTTGTTTCAAATCATTTCATACCCAGCTTCATAGCCAGTTTAGGAACGTCAGTAGCTTCAACAGCTTATGATGTCATAAGGACACGCATTATGAATCAGAGAAAATTTATCATCACCACAAGCGGATCTACGAGGAGGGGGGGGGGCTTTCGGGTTGACCCCTCCTCCCCTCCAAAATGGTAAAATATAACCATGTTTTACAGAAAAAAATATTAAAAACTATCTCTTAAAGTATTCTTGTTCGTGTAATTCCATTTAATAGGACTTCAAGAATCACTTAAATATCATCTCATATAGGTAGTTAATTTCTTTCTTTTTTTTCTAATTAATTATCGTTACATGTATTTGAAAAAAAAATCTTTCGGGCTGAAGCCCCCCCCAAAAAAAATTAATTCCTGGATCCGCTAGTGATTATCACTGATAGTGAGGAAGTCCAGTAATCTTTATAAGGGGAGTTTGGATTGTTTAATTCAGGCAGTGAAGAATGAAACTTTATAAAGGATTCAGCCCCACCTGGATTAGAATGGGACCGTGGAATATAATATTTTTCGTTACAATCGAACAATTTTTTTTTTTTTTTTTTTTTTTTAAGCTTTAATGTTTTATTCACACCTGTCATAATGGTAATGACAACCAGTGAATGTGAGACCGATTGCTACATGTAATGTCATGAAAGACATGAGGAGAATCAGTGCCCAGCGGCACCTCACTCGGCGTGATATCTACATTAGGCGAGGAGGTCCCTCATCCAGCTCCTCTTCAGTCTTCTACAGACGTTACCTGGCATATTCGTAGTGGTCATGCCATTTATACGTGTATTAGGATGTCCTTGTAAGTTGTGATGGAATCGTTTGTAATGATTTCGTATGTGTTCGTTAACAGTCGCCATATGGAGGTCAGTATGTAAGGTTATGTTGCTAACGTACCAAGGTGCTTTTGTAATTGTTCTGAATGTTTTTGCTTGAAAGATTTGAAGTTTGTTTAATTGAGTCTTTTTAGCAGTTCCAAATATCTGTGATGCGTAAGTCCAAATAGGTTTTAGTAAGTAATTTGAACAATTAAAATAATATTTTGAATAAAAAAAAAAAATAAATAAATAAAGTGTGTTGTGTTATTGGTATCAGGGCATATACATAATATCAAAGAGGAAATAACGAAGCCAAAAAAAAAATTAAGGATGAATATGAATTTTGAAACTATTCCTAAGAAGAAGAAAAAAGGTAAATAATTAATTTAAGTTATCCAAGTTAACCTTTATGATTTAAGAATAGAATCTTCTTCCTTCAACTGCCAGAAAACGCGTGAGAACGCAAAACCAAAAAAAAGGAGTTTCTTATAACACCGTTCACCTTTTTAATTAAAAGTTTTGCATCCTGTTATTTATAGCTACATCAATATTGAAAAGCCTTTAAAGCTCGGGCTGTTCTAGGCAGTGACAAGTAATGAACTTTTAATCATTTTGAAGGTCTTTAAATAATTACCAATTAAATTTGTCTGGAACAAGTTGTACAAGGGGGGGGGGGAGATAATATTGTTAGCACGCCCCATCATCATCAATTTTGCTTTAACAATTTCGTTTAAATCAGCCTCCTGTTCTTTGTAGCTCGGTTAATACAAATTACGTAGCTTCTAGAGCATTCTTTGAGCACACATTATCCGATGAGCTCTATATAAGAACGGTTAAAAACGTTGAGATTGAGAATTCAGGAAATAAAACGTCTATTAAACTCTCGCCCTACTTCATGTCTTCAGGTCTAATTTAATAAATAATCTTTATTTAAAAAATTCTAAATAAATATTATAAAAACATGCGATCAAATGGTACTCAGACCAATATGATAAGCCACCCAGATGTGAGGTTCATTAAAAAAAACACACCTACAGACTATTCAAATCTTCCAATCTAAATATCTAGGTCTTATATCACTCATGGTGTCTTCTGCCTTACCAATAAAGATCTTTATAAAGGCCTACAAATACATGTGATTGACATAATTAAGAAATATTACAAAAATTTTCACGACTCATTTATTGAACATAAGTGATCCACTTGTACAGACATTACTAACAGACACACAACCACAGAATATAGAGACTTAAACATCTTTGTAGCAGGGATCTGCTACATTAGAACTTAACGATATGATTTCCTTTGTCCATGCTTCTTTACACGGGTACCACATAATCGCGGACTATGGTCGCCCAACAACACTGGTAACGTATCGTGAGATTAATTTCGCCGTCTACAAGATTAAGAATTAACTTTATTATGGTTTCATCCATGTTTCCATTTTCGCTGGCGAACAAACAGAATGGTAGAGACATCGGAGAGATTAAACTCACCCACACTAGCAGGCAACTAACTATATTTACCTACAGCGAATGCGTCAAAGCACTAAGCCTCATATTTGTTGGACACAGAAAGAGATGCTGATTGGCTGTATTCTGTTTCTGAACCACTGAACACAATGACTACCCTATATAGGTATACCTCTGGCTGACATTTGTAAACCCAATTGGCGATATTCAGCCTTTGTATGGGGCTAACATCTGGAGGCGAGGATATAATCAATAATAAACATTGAATTGGTCAATTGCCATTCCTAAAATAACGGTGGCTTTAAGGCCGTGTTTGAAAATTATTCGGTTTCATATCAGTTTCACTTCTACTTCCATCAATGAATAGAAATATGTTTAATAAAAAAAAACTACGGTCTGTGCTTTAGACCACACGATAGAAGTGAAAACATCAAAAAAGCGAGATTAATGATATGAAATATAAATTATAGATAATAACTCAATATAAAATATAATTCATAAAGTGGATGAAATTCTAAACAATTATCTCCGCTTACAGTATGCAGCTCCAATTTTTAGTTTTTGAGATATTATAATCCATATCTTCTATAAAACTCCATAAATCTCCATATCTTCCATAAAAACAGCCGAGCGTTACACATCGGAGATCTGATGGCTGAATCTAATTTACTCTCCTCAAAAAGCGCTTAAAGAAGTTTTAGCTCAATAATATTAACCACAAATATATTCTTTAAAATATGATTCAGCTCTGAAAATGTAGAAGTAGACCAAAATTCAAACAAGGAAACAAAATGTGATTGTTAGGATATATAGAGAAACCTCCCCTAGCGGACACTACCCTATTGCAAACTTATCTGTATAGTGGACACATTTTTAAATCAGCACTTAAATGGGTTCAAAAATATTATTTATAATTAGGTCAGTCATTTGGATAAATCGCCGGTTTATTGCAAAAGATCACTAACCGTACTTCAGGTAGATTTTTACCATAATTTCGATCATATTTATAGATATGATTTTATAAATTAAAAAAATACATTTTCTCTCGATAAATGTAATTTCGTATACAATGAAGGTAAGGAGTTATACATCACAATAGAAATTGAAAAACAACCCTTAAAAGCATAGTTGGAATTTCAACCTGAAGCCCTAAAGATCCAATGACTCTTTCCAGATAGAAGCCACTGCTAATTATAGTTGAAGATCTCCAGGAAATGTTTCGTATCTCTTCACGCTCCAATTACAAGCTTCTGGTCGTCTGAGATACACAGATCTTCCAGATGATTTCCTAAAATCAATCATCCTATAGGAAATAATTGCTGAAATATAATGAATAAAAGAATTAGTTGTTGGTCAAATTTCGCTGTTCGTAATGGAAATAAATATGGAATCAAATATTCGGAATTTAAAAGAAAGAAAACTCAAAATTATTTTTGATTAGAATTATTCATTACAATTTCAAAATTACTAACACAGAGCTTGCGGGTAAACAATTAACCACTTTCGCCCATACCGTCATCAGCACCATTGAAACACATACAAATCGCATATACCCAGACCAAACATTCTGTATAAGCCACATTAACTGGAGACAGAACATCACTTCAAATCATCCAAACGCATATTAGACATTTTCACCATTAATCGCTTTCATTCTGCATCCCATACTAAAGCTCTTATTAAAAAATAAATTAGTTAGTTTGCTTATGCTGTCCGTTTTATCAAAAGATTCATGATCGGTTCTCTTCGAATCTGGTCATCAAATTACCAATTACTATTGAAACCAATTACCATCGCTACTGGAGCTTTCAGGACTAGTCCAATTCTTTGTCTCTGCTTCGATTCAGGCATAACATCTCTCCTTTCCAGAAGACAAAAACTAGCAACAAATTACATAACAAAGCTGTACTCACAAACCACACACCCTGCCTACAAATACATTTTTGAATCAAAATTTTCAACAAAATTCCAACAAAAGAATAATGCAACACTGCCACTTGCAGAAATGATGATGTTTGCAATATGTAAGTTGAATCAGATCAACATAAATATAATTCAAAATGAAATAACCCCTTGGACTTTTATACAGCCTAAATTAAATCTACTGCTCTCCAAATTTAAAAAAACAAAATACAGAACCTGCAAAATATAAAGAATTAGCTCAACAATTAAAAACAATTAGGTCTCTGCCAGAACACTTACTAATATTTACCGACGGTTCTAAATCGGACACATCAACACCATCCGCCTTCGTCACACCTCATTCTATCTACAAAAGTAAACTTCATCCACTTTGTTCCATATATACCGCAGAGATTAATGCCATCGCGATGGCTCTACGACATGTGGTAAATTCGCCAGTTGCAAATGTGGTTGTGGTGTCAGATTCTTTGAGTGCCCTTAAAGCCATGAATAACATGTATCCAGAACACATAGGAATATATACTATTTGGGCTCATAAAACAGCTATGTAACATTGGAACATTGGTACATTTTTTATGGTCCACTGGTAAAATAGGCATTGTTGGTAACGATATGGCTGACAGCAGCAAAAGAAGCTCTTACCCTTCCAGGACGTGGTAAAGCCTTCTTGACTGCGTCCGAACTGGCGCGACCCCTGAAATAGGCCATACACCAGGATTGGCAGATATTAGCCAATAGCCCTCCAAATAAATTAAAGGCGATAAAAAAGGAAGTGAAGCCATGGAGCAGTTCCAGTCGCAGAATACGCAGAGAAGAAGTTGTCCTTACGTGACTAAGAATAGGTCACACCAGACTTACGCACCTTCACTTAATTACGAAAGAAAACCCGCCAATTTGTCGGAAGTGTGGAGAGAGAATGACTGTGGTCTTATATCTCCGAGAGTTGTGCCTTTCGCATTAGACAATTAAACATAAGGGTAATACCAGCAAATACACCGGCTGCTTTGGGAAATGATGAAAAAATCCTAGACAAAATCATATCTTTTCCTCATACCACTTTTTTTTTTTTCTTTTCCTTTTTCTCTTTTACCTAACGTGCGAACTTTAGCGAACTTTAAATGAATAAAATTTAATAACAAAGAACAACTTCTAATCTTAACGTGCATTTTACATTTTTTTAAAACCTGTATCCAATTATTGATATTTATAACCAAAATATATAATTTTAATTCACGGCGTTGATGACCAAGTCCAAAATGAGTTCAAAACAACTTCTTGGTATTTTCATATTTTTTTTATATTTTTATTGTGGTAATGACTCTACACCGAAGGATCATTGGCATTTCTTATATTTCTACACTCGGTGGTAAAACTTATTTTCTTTCAGGAATTTTATAAGAGATTGGACACCAGTTTCTGAGTCTTCTAGTACTTCTCATCCTATACTGGAACTCATCTTCAGTTCTATTCTTATAGGTGCACACTGCTGCCATTCAATCAATAAGTGGGTGACTGTTACAGGAGCACCACACGTGACACAGGGAGGCGCTTCCAGGCCGCGGAGAAGATATCCATGCGAGGACTCACAATGGCCGATCCTGACGCGGCAAAATATTACCTCCTCTTGTCTATCTCCGGCAGCTAGTGCTCCATTTTGAGCTGTTCTTATCTTATCCTTACTATACATTACATATATACGTGAGTGAATGTAAAAATGGCTAAATATGAAGGAGAAAATGAATCTCCGAAAATAACAGTCAGAAGGTATACGTATAACATATCGTTGGAAAGCGGAGAATTTTAGAAAAAACAATATCAAATGAATAAAGTTGTAGAAGGCAACGGAGTGTAACGAAAAAAATATAAATAATTATTTCAGAAAACTAACATTATTTAACGTAAATCACATGTTTCCAAGGAAATTAAATTAACTTTTCTTACTATGCGTAAACATTTAAATGTTTTTCTAAGTTTGAAA